TTAGGAGGCACTATTCATATTCCGGAGGCCCCATTTCTGCGAAACGAGGCCCGTTTCATGAATCAGGTGGTGACGGTTCCGCATCAGGAGGCCCTGTTTTGCGATGACGAGACCCCCGACTAGATTTATAGACCCCTGTGTGAATCATGAGCATTCTATTCTGGATTAGGAGGCTCCCCTTTGCATCAAGAGGTCCAGCTTCAGGTTACCGAGACTCTTTGCTGGATGAAGTAAGGCCCCAAGTTTGTTTGTTTCATTGTTGACGTTTATATACCTGGTATTGATATAATAGCATGCGTGTAACAGCTTGATGTAGGAGCCGTGGCCCCGGCAGCCCCACCCTTGAATGCGACACTGCGCAGAAGGGCCCGCTGTTGGGAGGCCCCATTTTGTCCAGGAGGCCCGCTTGGAAATTCTGCTCCCACCCCCAGCTCCAAATTCGGGGCGCTACCCATGCTCAAGTACGTGTGAAGTGCGTCAGCTTATGGACATAGTGCAAGTGCCAATTAATTTTCGTTTTTTCAAGTTTCGACTAGGCCGCAGTAGTTTTGGCATTATAGAATGATTAGCTGAGACACACAGATGGACAAGCTGCATATAAGAAGTCGCCCTCACTTCAGGGCTGTCCAAAAAAAGTCGAGCAGATTGACCTGAACATAAACGAAACGAAATCGCATTGCGCCAGTTCACGAAAAATTATAACCTAGTAATGCGGCGAGGAGCATCACAGCAAAAATCAGATGACTCCCATTATAGCACCGGCCTTGTCACGCAGTGCAGAAGCCAGGTTTTGATTTCGTTGAAAATTGACGCCACCGTTCCTGGAAGGACACGAGGGGAAGGTGGCAAGCCCAGGTTCAGCAACATACCATGCGTCTGCGAGCTCAGACGTGCACGCGGGCATCCGCTAATTTTTTTCTTAAAACATGATATGTGTCAGGAGATTAGTATGATTGAACTGCTAAAATTTCCTGCCTTTATTTCGTCATTGCCCAAGGTTGGTATGGCTTCGTTCGACCCCAACTATCAACAATGATGCCATATTTATGCGGCATCGCATACGCCTTATGCGACGGCGGTCTAACTGTTAATTGTTTGCCTGCATCAAAGCTTAATATATTTGGTCAAGGCTTTCGATTGTGATCGACAAGAGATATGGATTTTGTGTTGTTCTCTCTTAACTGCTGGACCTATGGCTACCAGGACCCGGCATTCAAATGATTATCACCAAAATACCAGCAGGTTTCTGAAAACTTTGTGATTCTACTACTGCAGAGAGTAGGCATAGCATATAAGCGGTAGCTTTGCCTCGCCACCCTAAAAGAGTGTGCCATTCTGACAGGCATTCAAGGACGTCTGCCTAATGTCGATCGCTTGAAAAAAGCCTTTTAAAGGCGTAAGAGATGATATAGAAAATGGGCATATGTCAAGTCCTATAAAAACATTTGGCTAGTCTATTCGATATATACATGACACTGGTGGGAGGGGAATAAGCTTCCTGAAATCCAAATTTTAGTTAAAAACGAGTCATAAAGTAGCACAAATAGTTTTTTTAATTCATGTCTATATATATATATATATATATATATATATATATATATATATACACCATATTTCCTTTTCTTTGCAATATCAAATATGATTATAGCATATTGTTTCTTCTTGGGGTGAGGTTCTCTTTATGTTAGAACAATTCTGCAAAGTTTTGACCCTCTTACGAGCCCAATGGGTTGTGATTATACGGTTACAATTCTGTCATCAAGGTAGTCCTTAGTGCGTGGCGTTTTGGCTGAAGATAACGCACAGAGGAGGCAATATTTCAGACGTGATTTTAATGTTTCTTATGGTGGGTGAAAAACTTGGCCTTTGCAGCATATTTCTAAAGTTTGATCTGAAGTTTTCGATTCTATGTACACCTGGAATAGGCGCACATACCAAACCGTGCTTTTTGCGTGAATCCTGGCACCACCATCCGGCCGCAGATTTTCGGTTCAACGGCAGAATTTTGCGGCGAAAGCTGACGTGCCGTAATGCACGAGACAGTCCTGCTCTCTGACGTCACCTGACATTCAGCGCGACCGCTGTCGTCAGGCTATCCCAGTCAGATGCAAAAAGTAGGCGCCTAAAGCGACCCAAACACACTTCGCTACGGGTAGGTGAATCAGAGTGCGGGCGTCATCGTGTGATGGTACGAACAGCCGCGAACCTACTGGGTGATTGAGACGAGCAAACTTTCCTTTTCTGGCAGATTTAACCTGTTAGACGTATTTAGTTGTCCCAATGATTTTTAGACTCCCGTCCGGTGGCTCAGTTGGTTAGAGCTTCCATTCCACAACCATGGCTGGCAGGGTGAGTTCAAGTCGCTTTAGTCGCTTGCTATTTGGCCTTGAGAGGCATTGCCTGCGGCCGGTGGCAGCGGTCGCGCTAAGCCACGGGTACTGGATCTACAGGTTATGTGAACCTGGCAAACAGTGACGTATTCGCGGGGGAATATATTCCCTTTTGGATATGTTTTATCGGCTAGATTGCTGGACTAATGCAGCTTCCCTCCATAATACGGTCTTCTATAGAAATTTGATGCAATAAAATTCAAGAACTTAGTGTGTGCTGTAAGATCTCGATTGACTTTTACTATTTAGATATGTAACGAAGGTACACCGGAGCAACTTAGTAGATATTTCTGTTGTATGACAAGCATTTCAGTAGTGCTAAATTCGATACCTCTACAAAATCTGTTGTTGTTATGGTTAGGGGCATGAGTCTCCGCAGTCTTACAGCACGGCATAAGTTTGCAGAATGAAGGTCAGGGCGTAGATGTTCCAATTTCAGCTTGCTCACATCGCTACAGATTCCCTGTGCAGAATCGTGTCGACGTGCACCGTGAAACAAGAGTGCGGCGGACGCCGCCTCAATATTAGTTCTCAATAAAATTAAGACAAGACTCGCAGTACGGCATGGTTTCGTGCCTGCCGCCATGAAGTGCCTGTTTAAGATTTTAAAGGCCAGGGTTCGTTCGAAGTATTTTATTGCATATGGGTTCTGAATTTGAAGTTTCAACTACTCCAACTCGCGAAGGAGCCTGCGCGCAAGCCCGATGTGATAAACGCAAAAAGACACGCTTTCAGTGGCGGCGTCAACGCCTCCCCTGATGAGGGTCGCTGAGGTGGAGAATACTGTCGAGGCGCCCTTCCCCTCCCCACGGTTTTTGAGGACATCTTTTTGGCACGTTCTGCAATCGTGACCAAGTTTCTGTGTCTTCTGGGGCATTCATCACCCGTGTTTGGACACAAAAATGTGTCCATAGCATCTGGCTTCTGAAAAGATATTTTTTAGGCAATCTCGGCTGGCGCGAGCGGCGGGTGGGCGCGACTGACGAAGCCGCCGTTCGCGGAAGCCGGGACTTCACATGTTACATTAGTGGAGCCTTATATTATGAATATATGCTCAAAACACACAAAACTAGATGCTGTATGCTCAGAATGAGTTAAAGCATTTGCGTAGTCTTCATGACGGGAAAGACTGCTTCGATGAGCCGGGAGTCAGCAGTCAGTCAGCGACTTTGGGTGACGGTTGAGCTCTGAATCGGCGTTCAGACGTGTGAATGGCATACTCTGCGCACTCGGTAAAGACGCCAACAATATTGACAGGCGCCAATTTCAAGTGTGAGTGATAACGCCAAATACCTAGGCTCAGAGGTCAATGGATGAGCAAGAAGTTGGCAGAAGGTCGGCCCTAGTCGATACTTTTAGCACCACTACTACACCTGCCAAGCTAGCAGCATAACTTTATCACATCGTCGATCGATATCCCGGGCTGCCACAATTAGGCTAAAAATTGACGGACTAAGAACAACTTGGTCCACGCATCTTAAACTATGAAAAGCTAAGTCGAACATACAAAACTTCGCGAGGTATATGCCCAAGCGTAGTGTTTAAAAAGCTTGGGCACTGGTCTACGAATACGCAGTTTGAACTTAAACAAAATGACGCCTCTGACTGACCTTGAGCTTAAACCTAAAATGCTTCAAGCAATTGTGAATGCTCACCTTGCCTTTACATGTTTTGGAACGCGTAGGCTGACCGTTGTTAGCCTAGCATTTTTTGGAAAAATGGTGAGAGTCCTGAAAATTGATGTACAACTTAATATAAAACTGTTGCTAGTTTGACAGGTGTCCCAAAAATTGACTTAGGCTGGGTCAGGCATGTGAGAGCGCCCAAGTTCTCGACGCGCTGCCAGGTCATGCTTCCAATGGGGGTAAATCAAAACGCAATGCCACCGAACTCTTATTATGAATGCTCATCGTGTTGTCATCGCATGATGATATCGCATGATGGTGTTTATCCGATTATCCGACCGATTATCGTGTGACGTTTAGACTAGAATGGCAGGCAGTTGAGCCGAGAGCATGCTTTTGTGACCGAACAAAATAAAGGAAAAGCATTTGCATGCAAGATTAAGATATTTCGAACCCAGCAAGTAGAGCCTGCATTCCCACGCGCAGAACTCCTCGAGAAGCGGGGTGTAAGTATCTAGAAAAACTGGATGAGTATCATAAGCCCAGGGACGATACTAGCCCCATCTATAAAACAGGTGTCTTACCAGTATCGCCACCTAGGTTAGCGCTGCAACGCCTGTGCAAAATGACTTGCAATACAAAGCTAAGGCTATGAGCTTTAAAAATACGCCTTGCGATTTTTATTATTATCATTTATTATTACATGTTAAATACGAGAGAACGTACATTTTGTCTAATGTTGAAAGGATTTCAACCGTCTGTACCGTCTCAATCTGTCCAAAAGCTGCCTCTGAAAAAGACCCTTTCCTAAGGGCTTACAATGCTGTGGCTTGTTCAGGCGCTCTACCGTGACGTCACGGCGGGGTTGTCAGATAAACTTTGGGGTGCCCTGGCGCAAAGTGTCAGTTGACGTCAGAGGGGAGGACGGGCCGTGCCGAGCATTGCGGCACGTCAAAATTTCGTCACTAAATTCTGCTGTTATGCAAAATGAACAGTTTATATCCCTCCTTTTCTTCTGCCGTTTCATGGTAGGCATGGTTATCAAAATGGTCCGATCTTGGAGACTGCATGGGACCAGTCGAATTCATCATGAAAAGTTCCCGCTTTCGTTTTGTTGTAGCATCGCATTGGCAGCCTGGATATTTTTAGAGGTAGTCCTTGTGGCTCGAATCCACATATATTATTGGCTTGAATAAACGTTTAGGGTATTGAGCATGTATGTTACAAATCGCACTTGCCATGTACAATCGCTCTGCAATAAATATGGTAAATACCTGACTAGGCCAGCCCAGTCCATCGAAAAGTCAATCTGTTTAAGCACCACAAAAATTACAGGGGAAATCGTGGATACTCCGGAAAACATTTGACAACCACATTTTGTCTGTAAGATCGCTGGCCACACGTAACACAGAATTCTTCTTGTGCTCGAAGTGTGAGGAAAACAACACGCAAAGCAGTCGACGGAACTCGTACTAAATTGTTCAAACAAACAAACGAAAAATTAACCAAATGTGGCTGTCGACAAGCCCTGTAGGGTAAAATTGCATATTAATCTAGATGCATGGTATTCAGGCGAGCATGTCTGGGTTGGCAACAGCCAAATTATTGCCGGTGTTGCCGTGTTCGCTTACAAGTTCCAAAGACAATGCACTTACCAAATTTACAAACACGTATAGTTATAAAATTCATCTTGCGAGCTCGGTGAACATTAGTTATATTACTTTCGCCCAAAGTTTGACGGGAGAATATTTCACTTCAACTCTATCAAAGGGCGAGCGCTCACAAATTTTAGCGTGAGTAAAATAAATCACTGGTGTAAGAAGGGTAAGTTTGGGCAAGTTCACAATCCAAACAGTAAAACATAAACACGCCGCCTGCACGAAAACAGGTAGGCCTAAACAAAACGCATGTGTCTGCAGCTAGATGAAACAAAACAATGACTCCCTGTGGTCACAGCCGCGCCTGCACCAGCTTTGCTCTAGCCGGCGTCGTCTTCGAACGTTTCTAGGAGCGCGTTCAGGTCTTTGGTGATGGTGCCGAGCAACGCGCGGTGGATCGAATCGCCCGAGAACACATCGTCTAAAAACTGCGGATTTCCGAAAAATCCGAACACACTGTCGATCCGCGTCACCGTTTTGTCCGTCAGATGGCGTTCGACCAGCTTGAGCAGGATGCTCTTCATGTCGGCCAAACTCTGCGTGATGAAGCTCTGGTCGTAGGTGAAGTCGATCTCGTAGAAGCTGACGATGGTCATGGCAGTCATCTGGAACTTGCGCTGGAACTGAGCCGCCAGCACCCGCTCGTCCTGGTTGAACTGGTTGTTCTTATTCAGGATGCCAACCTTCACCATGACCTTGATCAGGTTCTTCGTCACCTTCTCTGACACTTTCTTGTCGCCGCTCTGCAAAGCAAACACGCTGTCACGCCGAAGGTGAGGCGCTACCTCCCCCTCCCTACCGCTGCACCCGTCGCGCCTCCATGGTCTCAGAAACATGTGGAACAGCACGGGACTGTGGCTGATGAGCGGTGAGATTATAGTGAACTACAAAGGCTGCTGTCTTCAACTCGCAGACCCCGATTGTCCAGGCTGGAACAACATCCCGTCCCACTGGCGGACGGGCGTAGACCAGAACAAAACTGCGAGGGTTAACCACCTTACCTCTTACGGGTAGTCAAGTGCTGTTATGTGTTTTGCACGCAAGCGTTTAGTACTATAGAGGCTTTAAAAATTGGAATTATAATCTTCCTTTGGTTAGTCAGGTCGTGCAAGTTGGTAGCACTGCAACTTCGTTTTATAAGCTATTGGTCGTAGACTCGACTGACTTATCATAGTTCGCCCGCAAGTGGAATTTACAAACATGAAATTATTCATTGCATTTATGATACGTACGGCTTCGGCGCTGTCCCAGCACCTCACGGTGCCAGTGGCACAACTAAGGAGGAGCTTCCGAGGCCACGCCCCGCTCCCCCGAGAGGTACCCCCTTCCCTCGAGGCTCCGCCACCTCCAGGGGTAACACGGAAAGGCCGACGCCGGACCCACCAGCCGGGTGCTAAACTGAATCAGAGTACTGCAAGCCCCGGTGGTCCCAGCCTCAGTTCTTCTTAGGAGTTTAAAACGGCCGAAATGCTTCTGGAGTATATAATTGGGTCACCACGGTTTCAAAGTCACGAATCACGGGGCTAAAATGGTCCTCTGAGTAAAGTCTGGGATTCTATAGCAATCAATAGTACCCCATCGGTGAAAGACCCACCTGTGACAGGATTTAGCCCTCCTCCTGGTAAAATGTCACATGATGATGATAAAAACTAGCCTTCCTCCTGCGCCAAGTAAAAAAAGCTGGATGCGCTTCTGCACGGCTTCAGTTCTACCCGCCCAGACAACCTAAAATAGTCGTGACTTGCGCTCTGATGCAGCTGCGTCTCCACTGCCGCCCATCACGCCACCGCCCGAGAGCGCCGTCCCGTGCGTCTTCCCGTGCCGGCTGCCGGCGCGGGCGTGGTGCCGCTGCAGTGCGCCGGCCGCCCCGGCTGGGCGCTGAGCTGAGTCAGCTGACCGCCAGCTGGGCGGGCCGGCGCCGGCCGGTCCGTGTTTACGCTGCGGGGGCGCGCGCGTCCCACCGAGAGCAGCCCGCGGCCATCCGACCTTTGGCTCGGCTGCATCGGCCGTGGGGTCACGGGGCAGACCGCCAGGCAGCCGGCGGGGCCCGCCTCTGCCGACGACAGACGCGGCGGGCAAGCAGTGTCACAGCTCCAGCTGCACGGCAGACGCAGCGATGCAGCCTCCGGCAGCGCAGACGCCCATATATGGCCCGCGTGCACGAGTGGGTTACCTTATATGGGTTACGTCGGAAATCAGCGTGGGGTGTTGGTTCTATTCATAAGATGATATAATGGTCCTGTGAAAGGCGCCGACAATGCATGGCATTGCTGCATGCATGCGGACTGGGAAGAACGGCGGGGTTAGTCCAGCTCCTAATCCAAGTTTACACGTGTGACATCAGTTTGTCCAGGTGGGAGATGGAACTGTTCCGGTTCTTCCGTGGCTTCACATAAATTGAAATAAATGCTCATTTGGCACGAACATCATTAGGAGCAGCGTGCAATATCTAATTATGCAAAATACCTGGACAAGTACTCTGTCTTTATTGGCGGAGGAGTTTATACAGTGTCAGGGAGGAGCTGCTCACCACTTCCTTGCAGAGCTTGCATAGGTTATCGAGCAGTTGGCTGGTGGGCTCGTCCACGACCATCTTGGCCACCGTCATATTGCTGAGTTTGCTGGCCAGCTTCTTCTGCGCCCGCAGGCCGATATCCTTGGCTTGGAATTCGCTCATGCTCGTTCCCTAGAACAAGGGTCATTAGTCAGGAGGAATATGTTGAATAGCTGTCACCGCAGTCATGACTCATGGGACGCACCGAATCAGTTTTTGCCCACCCCGAAACGATCGAGGACATGACATGACTCGGATGAATGCATGACAGGCACGACGGACGACGTAGACATTCACCGCGGCGAGTCGTTTTGAATTTCAATCCAAACACTTACGCAAACAGGTATGGATCGTGCTGCATGCTAATGAGTATAGACACATGAAGTGTGCGAATGTCATTTATTTTCTCCACGGACCTCTTCTCTCAGCCTTCCATGAGATTTCCTCTTCCTCCCGACAGCAAGAAGGCATCACGCAAGACATGCTACCAAAGTATAAAACATTTGGCAAACTGCCGGCATGCTTGTAGTGGGACCATGCATTCAGATTTCGGTAACGGAGCCTGGTGAAAAATTGGCGATTAATCATGTCTTTGGCTGAGCTGCGGCCCCCCACTTACTGCGTCATCACCCGGCGCACCGGACCCACCAGACCGCGGGGCCTCAGCCGGCCCGGCCCACCAGACCACCGCTCGCCACCGTCCGACCCATAAAACCGGGGTCCGCGCCCTCTGTGCCACAGTGCGGCAGCTCCTCAGACCCAACAGACCACTGTCCGCACCCTCTGTGCCACAGTGCGGCAGCCCCCTTTCTCCTCCCCCCCGCCCCCCTCTGCGCGCCACCAGACCACCGCCCGCGCCCTCTGTGCCACGGCGCGGCAGCCGGCCCGGCGCCAGTGCTATTTGGACAGCTAGGATAAGGCCGCGTCTCGATGAGGGCACGCTTGTCACTCGCGCTGAGCGGCTGCTATGGCCGGCCTCTTCGGGGCGCCGTGACTCTCCCCCTCCCCTCCCTCCCCCGTCCGGCGGGGGACGGCTGACTGGGCACCGGATCAGCAGCGCTACGGGTGGCAGATCGTCGGGGTCGACGGGCACGCCGTTTTGTGTCGAGCTGGCATGCCTGGTCTTGGCCAGAAACCGGAGTCGCCAGGCAGTCTGCCCGCGGGCAGGTCAGCAGGGATAACAATCTGGTAGCAGGCCTCGGGACCTGGACGCTGATTGGGCGGCGGGCCAACACGTCGGGGATGCCGATTTGTTCGCGTGCTCATTGATCCAAGACACCGATTCGCGAGCAGGCCAGCTGATGTGGTTTATAATTCATTGCCAGCACTACCTTATTTTTATTGAGCATGATTCCTCGGGCGTCTGTGCAAGAGTAATCGTTGATGCGGGTACATGTCGAAACAGCCATGCATGCCCATTCTTGTTTTCTTGAAATTTGGTAGCAGAAATGTAAAATAGTTTCTGTGGCGAAAGGAAGGGTTGCGAATGTCGTGATTTCAAGCATTGACACCAGGAGCAAGAGGATCAGCCAGCTCGTTACAGATATACTTTGTTGTCGAACACATTTTTGCCCAAGGAGTGATTTGTTATGGCCATCGCCATCGCGTGTTCATGGAGGGTCTAAGCGTACTCGGCACTTAGCCAGTAGTTTGTCGCAGCGATGTTATAACCTCATCTCGTAGATTGCTTTCATAAACATCCTGAGGTAATTTCGCACGCCGCGGTTGGCTCCCATCACAGCTCATGGGTCCCGGTCTCGGGTCGTTGCACCTGACTCTCTTCACACGGCAGCAGTCAGCAAATGAACCAGTTCCGTCGCTCCCAAGTAATTGCCAAAACGGCGCGACCGCTGCACGGCCCCCGCGCCAGCAGGCCGAGCGGCAGCCCAGCGGCAAGGCGCGGGTCCCAGCAGCAGCGCGGCGGGACGGGAAGGCGGCGGTCGAGCCCGGCCAGGCGTCCGACGGCAGCCGGCCGCCACCGGCTGAGCGCGCGCGCCGCGGCCGGCCGTGGCTGGAATGCGGGGCTGGGTGGGGCCGGATTTCGCCCCGGGCGATGCGCGGTTGCCCAGGGGCGGCGCGCGCCGCGGATGGCGCGGCGTGTGAGCGGCGGGACTGCACCGCGCGGGTCGAGCTGAGCTCAGAGGTGAGTCACGTCCGCTCTCCTGCCTGTCCTGTCCGAGGCAGCCGCGCTCTCCGGCCGTGTCGGGAACGAGAGTTGCAGGCGGCTGCGGAACGAAGCGAAAACACCCTCGCGTTTACTACCGGGTAGATATGGAGAGGACGTCTGCATGCTGGTCGTTTATCGGCACTGCGGTTAGGAACGACTATTAGCGCCGGGTTTATAACCAGGCGCAAATATTTGCGCGGTTCGGCCAAACCCCAGAGCACTGACCCACCCACGTGATGTCTCGCGCAGAAAACACTAACAAGTAGACGGAGACCAATCAGCCGTTGTTCTTGTTCCTTAGCAGCCTTTGCATGCGCCTGGCATATATCTCTCGCACACTTCTGGGCCTCGTGGGGCTCCGTCAAGCGCTTGGACTTGCCGTACGGGGTTCCGCCAAACGCAGCTGCACAGCAGGGGCACCCATACATATCCCGCACACGACTGGGCTGGCTGCTGGCGACTATCGCCACCAGCGGACTTGAGCACTCTCGATGACCTCCTCATAGGTTCATCCAGCAAAACATCGCAGTTGACATCATAGTACGCTGGGGCGTGCCAGTAAATTCCACATGTACTCAGTGACATTGGCTGAGAAGGCTGCACTGCGCTGTAGTTGGGACGGCAAGGTTCCCATTATCCTCCCAGAGGGTACACAGCGACCAGATGAAGACAATACATTTTCTAGTGGCGAATATGCCCATGGCTTGCTTTAAGCAAGACACCGATGCAATTCAAATGTCCGCAGCTGTCGACTGGCGTCGGTGCACCAACGACGACGAATCACGAGCGCAGGGCTGAAAAGTGCCTTTTCCGTCACCGACAAAATTTGGAACGGTTCGCATGGTCACCTGGAGTCAATCCTTTAGAAGCCATTGCACCTCTAAATGCAATAAAACACAAAGGCAAATTAAATGTAAAGGCAAATTAAATGCAATGCGGCATAACCATCGAACATTTTCGTTTCGGTAGTTCATTTGCACTTGGTTGCATTTGCTGGCCATCAAACATTGACTGAAGGTTGAGACTAAGCTAACAAAAATATTAGATAAAGGTATACTTAACATAACCAACCTAAGAGCGTATAGTCTCCTTTTTAGTTAGGAGGATTCCTATTTCTAGTTACCATTGTTATCCATTATTTTTCACATATCATAATTTGGGGGCTCATCCCCAAGAACCAACTCTGAGAAACTACACCCGTGCTGCCAGCTGCAAATCTGAGGAGAAAACTGTGTTTAGTGCATCTCGGAGGCAGGCTCAGCCATTTTTTCCCTGCGCTCCCCTCCCCTCCCCTTCCATCCTTCACCCCTGCAGATTTTGCAGAAATGCAACCCTGTGGTTCTACATTTACCAATAACATGGTACTTCAAGCACCTGAAACAATATCACTTCTGTTTACGTTTCGTCATCGTACAACCAGATAAAAGCGTTGGTGTCCTTCATTATTTTGTCAGAATCCTTGCCGGTGCAGAAAGCGCACTTTCTAACATGATCCCCATTATTTAGAGCAAACCCCAGACAATACTGGTATCAATAGATGCAACCGACATTTTTGAACACCTTTAGCACCTTCACTTAGCTTTATATGTAAGATCATAATTGAAAGCGTTTCATGCCATGCCTGTCCACCGATCAGTGCACTAAGTCTGAGCTGCGGCGTGCAACGTGAGGGACCTACACCAGCCGTGCTCTGCCTCTGATCTCGAAGCCGCTGTTCCGCTGAATGGCAGGAAGCCCCGGATGAATCCTTGACATGTGTCGTTCCAATAACCCCCGTTTACCTCCGAGGCTACAGCTCAGGTATCCATAAGCAGCAATCCTTTATCGGGCCTTCTAGCCAGTCAGCTTCTCACGACATGAACACAACCAACAGCATCCCACAACCTTGCACTGAACCCAACGCATTACCGCGTGGCGAGCGACCAAGCCATTCAGTCTCAAATGACACGACGCTTTGAAACGCTGCGTGGCAAACTGATCACGTCCTTCGCAAGATGCTGTGGCCAGCCATGATTCTTGCGACTAGTAAAAAGCCTAGTTATTTGGCATTTTTATACTGTTCAGTATGTAAAGTGAATTTTGGTTGAAAAAAATGTGAAAAGCACTGATCTGGGGGGGGGGGGGGGGCATGGAAAAAGCACTGTGTCATCCCTGATCTGTGACGTCAGCACTGAAATAGTATAGTTTGTAGTATGTTTCTGTCACCTGCTAAAAACTACGCTTATTAAAGCCACTATGTTTGGCGGCATTTTATGGCCCAACTTGCTCATACAGTGAAACGCTAACGTTTTGACTTGTGTTCACGCTGCGAGAGTTCGCGAGTACAGACCAATACTATGCTTTTGAGTTTCGCCGAGCTGGGATGATCTGTTGTAATATGGTCTTGTCTGTTGAAATTTGTTTTCACTTTTTGCAATTTTTTCACCAATTAGTTCGCAAAAGTTTCAGCTTTTGTCACCGATAATATCCGGTAAATCGGAAGCTTTTTCATCCCTGCACGAGCGGATGAAGAGGCGCCATCTCCTCTGATAACCATCTCCCGCTGTCTTGAAACGGAGACTAAGATCAGCAAAACAGCGCCTGTGCACACATGCGTCGCCAAACGTAACAATGACATTACATTATATGGCAATGCAAAGTCACATGCAAATAGGTCTGCACCAGGCAACACTATACCACTCCTCGGCGTGGTATCTGTTCGGTGTAAAAACGGTCTCTGAAGATCGGCACGAGTAGACCAAATCAGGATTTAGATTTGTCCAAGCTCTGCCGGCGGTATATGTACCCGGTGACTTTGGGAATATGTTCGTCCGCACGCAGCTTGTGTGCATCAGTCGGGCAGCGATGGTTCCGCTCTGCCTCCAGTTAAATGTTGGGCCGCTCAAGTCCGTAAGAGCCTGGCTGTCTATGCAGGGCCCGTCGGCGTCACGTTAAAGGCCGCAAAGTTGGGCGGGACGTGCCATCACCGTCCCCACCTTGGTGTGAGGTTCATGGCTGGTGGCCGGGAGTCGATGGTTCGGCGCCTACTGAAGCCAGCATCAGATATGATGAATTAAGTTTGCGAATAACTATTGGTATACTTTGAAATAGGAAAGTTTGATCTAGTCAACACAATTTCTCCATTTCGCAAATGTTTCTCAATACGTCATTACTTGATTGTGTCATCGTACCTTGCACAGCATCGATTAAAAGCCTTTTGATGACCGTTATATCTGGAAATGGTGCTCACGAACGCCAGACATGGACGATTCGACAGTCATATTTTCCTCTGCCTTGATCATTGCATGGCCAATGGAATGGCAGGATTTCAGTGACGTTACTACGGCGTCATGGATGCCTGGGTGATCTTGAAGTAATGTCCCCCGAATAAGTCTGCACATCTTCGCGGGCGTGTAGCCCAGAAGCTAGAGGGGTTTAGGTATTAAATAGGGTAGGACTGTGAAACGCACCGATGATCTTCAAAACGGCCATTTCAGTTCAAAGCCCGATACAGATGCGGAACGCTCCCATTAAAACTTTCGTCCACGTTCGGTGCTCCTGACAAGGATCATGCCCCACGTTTAATGCCTCTCACACTAATCCTATGCACGTGCAGTGACTGCCCGACGTGTCCGCGCCCCGAACAAATCTCTCCAGCCGCGGTCGGGGCTGCGCCTATCTGCCCTTCCGCAGCGGAGGATGCGGTTCCTGGGTCGCTTATCCAGAAATGAGAGCCAAGGCCGCCGGCGGCATCCGGCGGCGCGCGCGCCGCCAGGGCGGCACCAAGCCGACGCCAGCGCGTGCTTGCATTGCCCACATGTGCATGGTCCTAGATAGGCTTTTTAGCGCGCCGAACCGAGCCGGGTGTCGGGTACCGTAATCACACAGTACCGCACAGCTGTGAAGGAATTTCAAGGAGCTGTAGGAATCTGATGGGGAGAGGTCGACAAACGCTTAGTATAAAATGTATTTGCATGCATACCGAAGTCAGGGGTTCTTTGCACGGAAAGTGCCTTTATAATACTGACAAACATTTTAAGTTCTGCATTTACGATTTGCGCACACACACACACACACACACACACACACACACACACACACACACACACACACACACACACACACACACCACACACACACACGCACACACACACACACACACACACACACACACACATATATATATATATATATATATATATATATATATATATATATATATATATATCCACGTCTATTTCTTTCAAGCCTGTTGCTCCAGCATTGGCAGATTGAAACTGCTCTAAAATTTGAGCCACTCACAACCTTGTGCACAATAAAATTATGCGAGTCGTGAATCACAACGACCCGAAATGACGAGCAGTCTCACCTCCAGCCTCCCAGTATACTTAACCCCACCTGCTCACTACTTCGGCCCCGTTCCCCTCCGACACCCGCGCACGCGTCCATCGCCTTACCTGTGTGTCGCCGCCGTCACCGGGACGCTCCAGATGCCGTCCTCCACAGCGCGGGACGCCGGCAGGGGCGCCGAGCCGCCCTCCGCGCTCCGGCCGCGCCGACCGGCAGCACTGAGCCGCCGGAACGCAACCGCGGCCGCTCCTGCTGCCATCTGGCGGAACTTCCGCAGCACAGGCGGCAGAGTGACTGGACTGGCGTGCTGTGTTCTTCGGGCGGCTGCTGCCGTGTTTCCGTGCCTCGAAGGTTATTTTTCGACGCAGCTCTGCCGGGCCACTGCGTGATTTGGAGCCTTATCCGAGGAAAAACAAAACTATGACACCCATTTTAGGGATACTGCGTACCATGATTCCTCGGACATGCAGGCCTAGCCATATGGAAACATCTGCGCATACGGCAAATGCTGCCGAAACTATTGTCTGCTTTGCCAGGTGAGAGTAAAATGAATTGAAGCAAAGAATCTTTTAGATAAAAGCAGCAGAGGGTATCTGCTTGGTTTGAACCAGGGGTTCATCTAAGGAAAAACAAAAACATGGAAAATACTATCATTTGTTTTGTCTTGGTAGTGCAATGTAGCGATGTAATAATGTCCATTTCCTCGGATAACGGTAGTCATAACATTATATTTTGGCAGGTGCACTTCCGAATAAAGCTCGAATGGACCGGGACCCACGCGCAGTGAGTCACTGATTCTTTACAGCTGGGGGAGAATCCTGCTGCCCCCACTCCCAAACGCCGTCTGGCTTCGCCGGTGCCCAAGCATGGCTGGTCAGATAGTCTCAGTAGAGCTGAGGATGTGTTATATGTTTGATATACATGGGATACTTGGGCTTACAAACTGGACCAGTCGAGATACGATCTTACGAGATACGACATACTTCGCGTATCTCCTATCTCGTTAAGGTCAAACACAACTCGCTGATAACGAAAAGCATGCCCATACCCCTCTCCCTCAAACAGAGTGACACCCGGAGGTCAATTAGCTGAGTAAGCACGCCGCACCGCCGCTGTATGACGCTAATGCCTTTAAACAGGGTACGATCTGAAAACCAGTTATCAGTTCCAGCCTGAGATACCAAACGGTCAAACCTCAAACTCCATTGTGGTGGTAAAAAAACTCTAAATGCAAATTTTCAAGGTTAAAGGACGGGGTAGCGCCGCATTGCCGCTGTTCGCGACGTATTTGCACAAACAAGGCGTCATTAGAAAGCCCGTTGTCGATTCCAGCCTCAGCTTCCAAAAACACCTGAGTTTAAGCACGGGCTTTCTAATGATGCCTTATTCCAATAGATCAGTTCCATATAGCGGCAGTGCGGCGCTACCCTGTCCTTAGACCTGGAATTCTTCTCGGGGTTTGGCTTCAACTCTGGTGTTTTTGAAAGCTGAGGCTCGAATGGACAACGGGATTTTTAATGACGCCTTGTTTGTGCGAATCCATCCCATACAGCGGTAATGCGATGTTACCTCGTCCTTTAACTTTGAAAGTTGTTTTTGTAGTTTTTTGCAATCACGATGAATTTTAAAGCCTTGTTGATTTGATACCTCAGATTGGAACTGGTAACTAGTTTTCAGATCGGATCCTATTTAAAGACCTCAATGCCATACAACGGCGGTACGACGTTCTTTCTTGGTTACCTGACCTCTGAAGGTCAATCTGTTTGAAGTGGGGGAGTATGGGCCTGATGTACGTTATCAGAGGGCTATGTTTGACCTTAACTCTCATTTATACGCCGGACAGTTTTGATCCAGTTATATTGTTTTAAAGATTGCTGAGCCAGATTCTCAAATGTTATGCGAGCGTGGAGCACCGGTTCAACCTCTGAAAATCTATCAGATCATAATGACTAAGCAAACGAGGTCACTGTGCCCGCGTTTCTCATGAAGGGATTACGGGGCTCTTATGCTATCTTACGAAAGGATCAGTACATCAGATGTACCCGGCCATATCTAAAAGCATGCTTCTCTAAGTGCACTGCCCACATCGCTGCGTTCGAATGGCGCTGGACTTGAAATCATTCAGGAGGCATCAGTTATTTATAAACGATGTGCAGTTCACGATACTTCGAGATGGGGAAGAGCGTTGGTTTACCCTTCACCACTGCTGCGTATTCAGATCACTCAGACCTATTGCGCAGACCTCGTGTGCGGCGCTCGGAGGCCTTGACCAAGGGATCAATGGCTGAATTCACAAGGTGGCAACACGTTGTAAGGCTTTGTGAAGTGATTCACAGCGCCGGAATCACACTGGCCACCTACCTTAACGACATCTTCAGAAGGTATCTTTACACCAATGCAAAGGAAGCGAGACTAAGCGCACGAACAGCGCACCAAGTTCGCACGCGATGATATTTCACCAATCCCGAGTCCTGAACGTGCCTGCGGGCTCTGAGTCGGCGCTGTCGCCCCAGTGGCATCCCCCCGTCGCCCGCCGACACCGTCCATGGCCCCCGGCCAGGTTCGGCTCCGCAGCTGCCGTCCGTCGAGCCCGGGCCGGGCGCCGTGTCGGGTCGGGAGGCTCGGTCGGAGGCGGCGGCTGGCCGGACGTGGCTGACGATAGCCCGCCGACAGGCCACCCGCCCCCCTCGCCCGGCTGTTTGTATCATCGCCCGCCGGCGGCCGGCAGCCCATACAAACGCCGTCGGGTGTCCCGTCCGCGAGCCGTGCCAAGTTGATACGAATGCGACGTGGCGGCGGCGGTCCTGTCGCCGGCGACGCCGGGCAGACACGCCGACTTAGCTCACCGACACTCTCGCACGCTCGGGACAGTGTTCGTCCGCTTGCTGTCGGTTCCGAAAGGAAGGGTGTATGGGAGTAATGGCGCCACGAAGTCAGTGTAAGGTGGCCTCGCTTTGGCCTGCTACTGGGTGAACTTAACTGACTTACTGAGCAGTCCCAGTAACAACTAATTCAGACATATTTCAAACGTCTGTAATTTTGTAGGAAAATGAGACATATAAAACAATCACCCTCCACACAAAGGCTCGAGTATTTATCTTCTGGCATGTGTAATCATGCACTCGTGTAATCCTAATCACGTGCAATCATGATTCGACTGGCTCGCTCATTGCTGATCATGGAGACGATGATAAAAGCAACTATGAGTGTGAATTTTCCGATCCTCACGATAAGCATGACTATTTTCGAAAACAAAGCTTTCGTCGTTAAAAGCGTCATCAGCGTATGTGCGACACTGAACACCTCGTGCATGACCATGAATAGTTATCAGACGACAGAGCATGCCTCTGGCCCACACACAAACATTATTAGACAGTGACCTAATTCGGTAACGAATCCGACATGCCCGAACAATCTGAAAGGCAGAAGGAAGTTCAAGGTTGTCGTCAGAGGTATTAAAATGACAGAACCTTTCCTTCTAGACGCGTTTTCGCTTCACTGTTATGCACCTATACGTCATTTCACTGCTTTATAATTTGGTCCCATAGGAATTAATGCCCAAACGTCCGATGACGAGTGGCACATGATGATGAAACGAAAAAGCATAAGGTCATAAGATTTACCGGCTTTTTCGGAACGACTGACGACAAAACGATGAGCCTTAACCTATTTCACGTGTTCGGCTCAATCCAGAAAAAAGATGTCCGTGGAGTGCAGTGAGACCAAATAAGGTACCAGTCTATTATACACCAGCGTAAAAAGGGCTGTTGAAAACTTCGGAAAGGAGATATCTGAACGAAACTCGCACAACAGGGACAGCGTGCGTCACACGGTCTTCGGGAAGTTTGTACAAGAAATATAAGTTCCCACACGAAAGTTGGGCAAAAAAGGCACAACAAGGAGAAGACGGGACTTAAAAACCAGACCTCAAGAGCACTGGCTTTGCGATAGGACACGCCAAAAGGCACCCAGTACGGCCGATACGTAAATGTTGGGGGGGGGGGGGGGGCAAAGAAGGCAAACCATACCGCATATCTACCGCTGCACACATGCTGCGCGCACGTAATGATGGGCAACAAGACATTACTAACGTACAAAGCTGAACTTTTGTCGGTGATATGCAAGCTCGCGCGAATGAAGCGGGTGTCCCCAAGGGAAGTGGCATGCTGTGAGATAGGCAGGAAGCATCTGTTTGGCTTCGGGTTCTCGCGAAATGTGAGCCGTATTTCTGCCAACGGCGAAATGGCATTGATGGATGAAAAATTACACGAAATGGATATTTGTTGAATAATAAGTGCCATCTTTGGGGCCAGACCTTCTGGACCGATCTCGCATCTTGTCACTTGTGCAAAAAAAAAACGCATCAGGCCCTAAGAGCGCCCTATTTGAGAGCGCGAATATCAGGCCCTGCCCTACTATCATTGGACATGACCAAGGGGCAAACGCACGGACAGTGGCGAAACCAGAGGCTTGGCATGGGTTCGTTGGTGGCCATACCAAGGCCATTTGTTGGTGAGGGCATACTTTTTAATGTTTTTTCCAATGTGTGTTTTCATTGCTTTTTTCCATTCTGAAGCTGGAATAAAAGCCAGAAGCTACCGCGAGATAAATTCTGACAAAATTATTTGGTCAATAAGCGAATAAATCATGCTTTAAAGTTTAAATTTCAACGAAAAACTGAATGAAATAAAACACCGGCGCTCTTCATTTTACATTGGTTCAGTGGACTCTTCCTAAACCGATAGAACTCAGAGTTTTCGTCCAAATTGTTATATGGGTTCAACAGAGATATTAGGAACCCCGCAAATGTGGATTGTACATCAAAGGAGTTCAACAATTTTTTATGAACTTGGCCAAGCCATATTTGTCTGTAAATCTTCAACATTCAGTCAGAATCGATGAGCACACAAATTATGTACGTAGTTTTGAACATGAGCTCGCAAATCTTAGTAGCAAAAACTTCGACGCCAGGCGTTACAGTCTCCACAGGCCGCGCAGCGTTGGCCCCGCGGCTAATGTTAAGCTGTGGTCAAAGGGTTAACGAAAGCGATGACGCATCTGAAATAAATACCTTTTAATGCTTTAGGACATCAAATCGTGCATTTAGAAGGTAGTCCGGGCGTATATTTTACCGGCGAGATCTTAAGATCGATCTTAAGAACGGATTGGCATTTACAGCCCCGCGAAATGGTGCTGACTGGAACCTGGT